TGGAAGAAAGAGTTCATCATAAAGAGTCCTATTTTCTCCATAAAGTCGGCCAGCGGCGCACCGCTTTCTTTTGTCCCTAGTTTTGCGTTGAAGTCTCCCATCAACACCGTGTAGTGGGTTTTGGAGGAATGCATGGCTCTAGAAATATCCTCATACATTTCCTCCACCTCCACATCGGAATGTGCCGAAGTTGGTGTATAAACCTGTATGACCTTTAGCAAATACCGTTTGGTGATTCTGAGTATATCAGGTATGCGACCCTCGTCGACACACTCCCAATCTTTACAACGTTGTTGACGAGAGACTTGTGGACAATAAAACCGACACCTCCTTGGGACAGATGGTCGCCCTCCCGGTGATAGAACAAGTTGCCGGACTCGAGGATTACTGTGTCCTCTCCCTCTCTTCGGACCTCGAATAATCCAATAATATGCCAGCGCAACCTGTCTACCTCTTCTTCCAACTCCAGTATATTCTCGTCAGTCCTCAGGGTGCGTGCGTTATATGTTGCCAGGTCGAGCCGTCGTAGATGGCAATCGAACCTCCACCGGAGATTCTTAGCACCCCCTGCCCCGCCGTTACCATGGTCGCCAAAGTAGCCAGGAATAGCCATAGTTGCCACGCTTGGCGAGCGGGTTGGCAACCGCAGTTTTTTTATTATATTGTTGTTATTATTAAGAAGATGCTGCTGCCCATCTCCTGCCTATCTCCCTCTGTCGTCTCTTACGACACCCACGGGAAGATATGGCGTAGTTGATATTCTCAATAGTGATGCAACGGAAGTGTCATATCGGAAGCAGAAACAGAAACAGATGTTAAAAATATTTTTTTGCAGAAACGGAAACAGAAACGGACGCGGAGACGGAAATAATACTTATTTAAAAAAATACAAATAAAACTTTATATAACATTCAAAATTAAGTAGCGGTAAGTTATATATTATGAAAAGTAGTTCGGCCGTTTCACACCTAACAATCTGTTCTTCATATATAAGTGCGGCTCCGAAAAATAATAATTGCTATAGCAATTATTGCTCACTGGCGATGCTGCGTGCCACCTATATACCAAAGCTAAATAGGCACTGAGAATTTGGGCAAACCCTTTAAAGAGCCACATTTAGGTTTAGCGAGTAGGTAATTTAGTAAAGCCCTAGCACGAATTTACGACGTAAATAAACTTTGAATCCAAAATACTCATAAAAGTTTCTTTAAAAAATAATTATTTCTAACAGTGACCATGGGTGCTGGAAAGCACCCGAAACGTCGGGTATTAAAATTAACATAAAGAAACGCGATAAAATTCGTAAAAGTAGTTTTTATCAATAAAATTAATTAATTTATACTTCAAGTAAAAAATAATATAAACTTCACGCAAACATAACTGCTACCTAATTAATTTGCAAATCTAAGTTATAACAAAGGCATTTATTAAAAACTATTTTTAACTGGAGAAAACACGTTTTAACTAAAATCTGGTTTTAACTATAACATAGGAATACATTTTATAAATAAATAGGTATGCAATTCCTTGACTGACCATTTGTTTTTTAGTTTGCGATGAAAGATTTACAGTTTCAACTAACTTCTCAAACTCAGCAAACTCTTCGGCGTTTAAGATGGCTTTTTAAAGCGGTAGTTGTGCAGCCTTTTCGCGAGTATATTTTGTCACATAATTTACATCAGGCTGTTTAATCATCAATCTCAAAATAATATTTCCAAACAGGACTTGTTTTTGGCTTCATGGTTGCAATTAAATTACACAAACGACTTAAATTTCTAATTACCAAAAAATACAATAAATCTATTTATGTGAATGCGTTGCTGAGTTCCGTTCAAAATTCCGTTATAAAACTTGCGAAACAGAGGCAGAAACGGATGTTAAAAACCATGCGGAACTTGCGCAGTTGCGGAAACAGAAACAGAGTTCTATTGCATCACTAATTCTCAACCGCCACTACACGGCACTTCATTCTTAATTAACCATTATTTATTTTCCATTTTTATACATACCTAGCACTTTAGTTATTCATAACATATTTGTATCGTTTCTTTCACGTACACGGCTCGCGTACTTACATGATCAAGAAAATGACCAATATCATTTAATTCTCTTTTCTACATTTCAGCTCACGTAATTCATTATTTAATTGTACCATGACTCACGTACACGGCTCGTGTACGTACATGATCAAGATAATGGGCAATATTCCTATTTCCTATACAATTCATAATAAATTATCATTTCCCTCATTAAAAATATATTAAAACTTATTCCGCATTTAATCGTGTCCGAACAACCTTAAAAAATTAATCGGTTATTAGGTTTTCAAAACTCTCAGCTGATCAGGTTGAATGTATGTGGATATGCTAACCTCCGATAATTTTCTTTATCTTATTCTCACAACTATACATTATCAATATTTTCATTTATAATTATGTATTCCGCAACTTAGCCATAAATTTAATTACATATTTTACTTTATATCATAAAATAGATTCGTATAATATTTAGTTACAGTGTCAGTCAGGGATTGAGGGTTGAGGCTCACAATATGGGTACAGCAAAATTTAAATCAATTAGTTGTGTACAACACTATACAGTAAGAGTCTAAATCGTATTAAGCGAAGAAAATACTTTCATAAAATGAAATAAATGATTTAAAATGCTTATGATTTAAAAGTTTTAACAATGGAAAACCGAAAATAGATTATTACATTTCACATTAAGATAAACAGAACAAAAAACGCAACGTAATCATTTTCATTAACAATTGAAGACACTTTTGTTTTAAATTCCAAATTACGTATAAGCCAACGTTTTACATGGGACATGATAACACGGTGTGATTCACGCCTAATTTAAGATAATTTGTACAATATGTTATAATATACATGCAAGTATAATGTACATTAAAACATTTTTTTATTTAGACAGAAGTTTAAATGGTTTCGTCGTTCATATATTACATACATCAAATAACGCACTGGCTTTTAAAAGTTTAAAGTTGTTAGAAATATTATGATGTTCATTATATGGTATACAAAAAAGAATAAAAATCACTCAAACAGCTATCAAGTTTATACATATAACAAAATATTAACTTATTTAAATATTGAAAACAAAACAATTTTAATTTATTATAATATAACTTATCCTTGTCTTTAGAAAAGAAAAGAAAAAGACAACATTAGCGAATTGTTTGTTGACCTTTGTCAAAATTGCATACAAATAAATGAAATATACTACCGAAAAAAGAAACAATGGAATCTATATTTGATGTGTTACAACTACAAAATATGAAAAAAATATTGACATGGTAAATTTAAGTATGTAAAAATGTAATATATCTTATTATTTCATTTTTTTATAATAATTCATGGTAGTAAAATTAATATAAAACGGTAACTGAATAAAAGCAAATATAAAATTATCTTGTCCCTCAATATAAACATGCCAGACAGAAGTGTTTATGTGGCTTAATTTATAATATTGTATTTTGATTGCATTTTTTAGAAATAGTAATAAAAATATTTAAAACAATCAATTGTATCGTGATTACCTCTTAAATACTTTCAATTTATATATTAATACTTTACTTAAAAAATATGATAGCAAAAAGAACATAAAAACAATCTCAAATTAATAAAAAAGTTTTAAGTGGAATTATAATTACAAAGGTGCGAAGTTACCTCTCAATTTTTTCTTTATTCTTTTTGGCTCAATTTTCACATTTTTCTGGGTGATGCTCGCTAAAAATACAACTGCTTCTTTCTCTTTTCAAGTGTGCCAGTTAAATTTTCAGTCTTCATTTTTCAGTAAGCTTCCAAAAAAAAGTATTATTGTGGCCTCTTTTGGTATTCATATTTATTTATTTTTCTTCACATCCGGTATTGCGTCCATTCTGTTATAATTTTTCAATCGTTTTACTAATGTCTTAATTATTTAATTTAGTAATATTTATATATTTTTGTCACCTTTTAATTGGGCCCCGCGGTGCGCGTGCATTTTCGCAGCGCACCGCCTGGCAGTATCGCCCTGTAATGTAGGAAAGGTGTCAATAAAAAGGAGACGTGTTTTTGTCGCTAAAACTTTAATTATAATGCTCTTCTATACTTAACACAAATATATATTGAGGCGGGGGCTGCACTACACTACAATTCACAATTGATACAAATTAAGCGGACATTATTAATAACCTTCTGGAACTTTTATTTGCTTTGCTTTCGTATTGCCTACTTGACAGTATATTGTGTGTAATTGTTTTTTTTTTTAGTTCTTCTGCTATCCTCGACAATCCAGAAGGATTGGAAAACCTTTTTGTAGACTGTGGGTAACACGCGAGCACACAGCCCACCTAAAATTATAAGTGGATGCTGCGGACCATATGGAACTACATCTTTCCTCAATTAAGAATCAACTAAAGAGAAATGCCTCGTATCCAGTAAAAAGGTTCTTCCGTTCTCCACACTCACCATACGAAACACAGCAGCATTAAGCTGTTATTTTACGCTGGTATTCTGTGACTGCGTGTTGCTTTACCGTTCGAGGCGACCTATTCGTGCTACGACTAATATAGCTGGAACATGGCTAACCATGCAGATTACATAATAAACAAATTCATAACACGCTTGCCTATACCAGTTTGCACTTGTTTTAAAAAAAAAAGGATGATCTATATCATCCTTTTTTGTGGGAATTTTCATATGTGCTATCACATACTTGAAACATCCTCCCATCCTATTTTCGCCCTAAAAATTAACTAAATACATGATATTTTCGTTTCAAATGTTGGTTTAAATTCGAAATCAACCTTGAATCTGCCCATTTTTTGGACCTGTACGTTTTTCAAATATTCTATTAAAAGTTCCATGAGAGGCGTAGCTGAGAAATGTTTGTCTAGCTTCAAGCTTTATCCGATCGAGCGTGCAGCAGTAATTTTACCATGTTGTATGTATATTATGAAACTTCTTTATACTATAGCGATACCTTTCTTTTTCCAGGCATGAAGGTCGTACATGGTACACGAATCATCGCGGCAGGTTGTGGATCGCGTCAACGGCGAAACCTCCAGATCATAATGTCGTTCGGGCCTTGGAGAACCAGTACAGAGTACTGTATCCAGGTAACTAGTAACAATTCCAACCGGCTTAAAGTAGAGAAGTTATAGTTACATTATTCTCTTTCCAATCGACCCGTAGTGTAGATAAGCCCCAGGTTTTATTGTTTATTGTTATGGTTTTATTATTATTTGTTTATATTATATATATATATATATTGTGCTTGCCAGGCAGACGTTGTTCTGCCCTCTTCGACGACCCTTTGTCATGACCTATTAAAAATCCTTAAATTCGCAAAAAAAAAATTGTGAGTCACTCATGGGCAAAAAAAACTATTCTATCTCTCAAGTTTGGCTAAACTGCACACGGTGTACAAATTAGAATTAAAATCTGTTTAGTAGTTTAGGAGTCCATCGCGGACAAACATATATATACACACACACACACACACACATATATATATATATATATATATATATATATATATATATATATTCTGTTACGGGTGTCCGCCGTAAGATTTTACACTTTGCATCGAGCTCACAGCGTGCAGTAAGGCGGTGACGGGGGGGTGCGGGGTATCGTTCGACGCGGGAGTGTTGCGGGTTGTTTATAGAGATGAGTCGTACTAGGTAAATTTCGTACTAGGTGCACCTAGTCCAATTCCGTATAAATACTCGATCCAAATACCTGTTCCACCTAGTCCATAAAGTATCAAGTACGCACAAAGTTTAGTATTGTTGGAATAGGATGAACTTTAGTTTCAAGTATGCTTTACGCGCGTACTACTGAAACGTGTACAATAATGAATTTTAATCTTCCCTTCATACTTTACACAGGCTTAGGACTGTCAACGTACTACATTGTAGATTGTTGGCGTATTTAAAAGATTTTAATTCATTTTTATTTCAATGTAATCAGATTTTGCTTTTTTTTTTGTTTTTTTTTATTTTGTTTTTTTTTTTTTTATCACTTAATCTACAGTTATTGTTTTTTATACTTATATAGAAATAATAGAAAATTACTACTTTAATTACTTGAATTTTGATTTAAGAACATTAATTGTTGCACTTTTCGAGTTCCCAGCCTCGTTCTCCTGTCATTTAGCAGTAAGCCACATGAGGAAAATAATCTTTCACAAGGGACACTCGTGGCCATTGCATTCAACTTGGTGAGGGCCAGAGCATACAAATGCGGGTATACATCTTTCCGCTTTTTCCCACCACTCTAGTGGTGACATATTCTCACATGGCAACACAACTTTATCGTCCAAATATCTTTGAACTTCTAAAATCGCTCGAGAAGTTGCCGTGCCCTTGGGTTGAATATTTTTCATTTTTTCTGCATAGTGCTGCCATACTAAATTAATTTGCGGCTGAGCTGGAGGATTTGCTTCTTGATCCGATAGCTGCTGCTCTTCATTTTGAAGTTGGGAACTATTTCGATCCTCTTTATTAATAATAGACGTAATAAGTTCTATTATCCTTTGTTTTGTAGTGTCAGCTACACATTGATTTTCAAAATACAGTTTGAATCTAGGATCCAGGAACATACAGGTAGTAAATGTGCCACTTTTATCTAAATTAATAAATCTATTTTTTATAGCGGCCAGCAAGTCTTGTAGTAATTTTTGGGCGGTGTCGAGGTATGCACTTGTTTTAATACTTTCCAGAGATTTGACTAACCCTGTCGTTATAGGTATCACTATACTCCCCGTTACATATTTCTGAGCACTTACTTCCCTTGTAACTTCTTCACAGGGTTTTAAAATATTACAAATGTGTTCACAAAGTTTCCAATCAACTGCAATTAAGGGCATATTATTAACGTTTAAGTTAGAGAGCGCACTATTAACCTCTTCTTTTAATTCTACAAACCTCTGCAACATGTAGAATGTAGAATTCCACCTCGTGCTTACACATTGCAGAGGTCTTTTAGGGGCTTTTCCGGCCTGTTCCTGGTATTTTTTAATTTTTCCCAGGCTAGAGCGGATCTTTTGAAGTAAGCAACAATAGTTTTTACTTTATCAATCAGATGAACCAATTCTTGTGTCGCAGACAATCCTTCTTGGACGGCTAAATTTAGCGTGTGTGCGTAGCAACCAAAATGCTTCCAGCCTATATCTATCACGGCTTTTTTAATATTGGCGCCGTTATCCAACACTGCTAACAATATTTTTCCGGACACTTTCCATTCCTCCGTTATTCGTAACAGTTCCGTAGCTAAGTTGGCACTGGTATGTGATCCCTCTAAAAGTACACAATCTAACAAGATGGATTTTAGGGTGCAGTCATTTTTATTGATATAATGACCAGTAATACCCATGTACGAGTCGTTTGTACTTGATGTCCATATATCCGCTGTGATAGAAATCGATTCCACATCATTTGCGACTTCCGTCATTTTTGATGTTCGCAAACTTTCGTAGCGACTTGGCAATAAATTGTTTGCAAAGTATTTACGATTTGGAATAACATAAAAAGGAAAAGCAGACTGAATTAATTGTCTAAAACCTTTGTCTTCTACAATACGGAATGGTTGAAAGTCCATAATAAATAAATCCATTATTAGCTTATCTATATCAGATTTACATTTATCAGCATTTTTTTTATATATGTATGAAGCTATAGTTCTCGCACCCGGTTGCACTAATCGCACCAAGTTAGTGGACGGCCGTTGTTCACCTTCAGGTTGTTGAATTATTCCAGCAGATTGGTCTGATATTGGTGGTTGCTGGTTAGTCTGGGATGTTATCACTGTAGCTGGAACGTTGTTTCTTCTAACTAAACTTACGAATGGATGTTTCCGTTTAATGTGTTTTGTAAGGTTTGATACAGAACTTTTAAAACTCAGTTGTATTTTACAAATATTACACTCAGCCATTTGTTGCCCTTTGTCCGTAAAATGATCCCAAGCCACACTATTTACTCTGGGAGCCATTTTTTAAACAATAAACGTGCAATTGTTTCTAGTTAGTTTTTAAAATAAACACTATCTATCACGTACAAAACTAATACATAAAATAATCAAAATATGTCTCCTTTTGTAGACACCCCTAAGAATAATTCTTTTTTTAAATGTTATTTATAACAATTATACAACTACAATTATAAAAAAAAATATTATAATTATTCTCGTTACTAAATTACGAGGATTGAGATTATACGAGAAATAAATTAAGATAATTTACTTCAAAAGCTCTTCCGCCATTAAACTACTTTCTTTACTCGATGTAGTACTACAACGTACGTGTAGATGGCGCGGTTACGGAATAATTTCATATTTTCTAAAATTTGTTTTAAATGTTTTTTTTTTCTTAAGGTTGTCAATTTATTTGAAAAACTCTAGAATTGGAACATTCACAGCTATTGATTTTGTATCTCTCTATTGATTTTAAGCTGCTATGGTTTTTTTTTACTATTGCTATAATTCTGTAATAGGTTGATGCAGTATAAAGTAGCTCATAATGACGGGAGGGCGAATTTGAAGTAGATAATTTTCATATAAGTATTATTTCTCATATAATCTTTATAGTACCGAGACTAATTATTATATTTTTAGAATATTGTTTGTATAATTCTTGTAAATAAACATTAAAAAAAAGAATAGTTTGTAAAACAAAAAAATAAAAAGTGAGTTGGTGAAGTTTACTCCATAAGAACGATTATAAAATATTATATAGATTAGTAAATGTGAGTAAATGAACGCATTTTTATATTACTGAAAGCAAGCATGATACATTTACTTAATATTAATTATATAATTTATATTCATCAAAATAATATATTAGATAGTCATAGAAAAGTAAATTGTTTACGTAACGTAGTCATGGAAACATGAATACAGTGTCCACCGAGATCACATTCGCATGAGTCCATACCGATACCGTACTAGACAACAGAAACACTCGTCTGCCTTGTACTTGTACTCTTGATCTTGTACTTTGCTCTTGTACTAGTATTTGATTTGATTGAAGTCCCGAGTCCCGACTAGTCTCGAGTCTCGAGTATTGACAGACAAAGATAGAAAGACTGCGGAATAGTGTAGTTAAACAAGGACAGAATATATTCTTACGCAACACGAGTGCGCGTCACGTTACGTTTATTTGCATTGAAATATGGTTCAAATTCAAATGACTGACAAACTAATGATTTAGGCAAACACGACCGTAAGCGCCTAGTAAATACGGCAACAAAATACGAGTACGACGCGTAGGCACAGTGAGACTAGATGGATCAAGTATTTTAAAAGTTGGAATAGGTGCAACCTAGTCTCGTTAAATACTTAGTCCCTGGATCTGTTCTAGTATATACGCTTCATCTCTAGTTGTTTAGTAGCCATGAGTCAGTGGACGGGAGCGCATCGCGCTTTCGCTGTCGAGGCCTATTTTGCGAACAACAATTCGATCAATGTGGCGAGGCGTTCTTTTAATTCTCACTTCGGTATCCGCCGATTACACCGGGCGTAAGTTCAGTGAAACTGGATCAGTCATAAATGAGCCTCGGCCTGGACCTTCAAAGTCTGTAACTACGCATGAAAATGCAGAGCTTGTGAGAAGGGAAATTTTGCGAAATCCTCGCAAATCTATCCGGAAGATTTCAGCTGCAACAGGTGTGAAAAAGACGTCAGTTCACAAAATAATTCGAAAAAAGATTGTTCCATCCATACAAGCTTCAAATTATCCAGCAATTAAAAGAAGATGACTACATAAAGTGGCATACTTACGCAAGAGTGTTTTTGGAACGATTTTCTACGCCTACGCGTATGTTTAACATCCTTTTTAGTGACGAGGCGCATTTTCACCTTGGAGGATATGTCATTAAACAGAACATGCGATATTGGAGTGAGAGCAACCCAAATGAAGTCTTCACAGCCCGAAGACCACGGTATGGTGCGCCATTTCTGGAAATGGCATAATTGACCCGTATTTTTTTAACAGAGGTGAAACTGTTATTGCAGGTACGGTAGGTACCGCGCTATGTTGGATATTTTTTTTATACCCGAGCTGCATCGTCATGTCGGCTACAATAACAGAACTTACTTTCAGCAGAATGGGACCACAGCACACACCGCCCGGGAGTCAATGATTAAAGTGAGAGAGCTTTTTCCTGGAAAATTAATAAGTCGATTCGGCGACGTAGCCTGGCCCCCTAGATCTCCAGATCTGACCTCTTGCGACTTTTTCCTCTGGGGATATCTCAAGTCTCGCGTTTACAATAATTCTCCATCAACAATAAATGCCTTACAAGAAAATATCCGCCGCGAAGTTCAGGCTATCAGTCCAGCACTTTGCAGAAAAGTTTCCACCAATATGAAGGAAAGACTGCAAGAATGTTTCCAACTAGAAGGACGTCACTTGAGTGGAGTAATTTTTAAGAAGTGATTTCCGCACTATCCTTTTGTAAGAAAATAAATAAATGATTTTAGATTATGTAAATAGTTTTATTTTATTTTATAAAGTGTAAAATCTGCCGGCGGACTACATATATATATATATATATATATATATATATATATAATATATATGTGTGTGTGTGTGTGTGTGTGTGTGTGTGTGTGTGTGTGTGTGTGTGTGTGTGTGTGTGTGTGTGTGTGTGTGTGTGTGTGTGTGTGTGTGTGTGTGTGTGTGTGTGTGTGTGTGTGTGTGTGTGTGTGTGTGTGTGTGTGTGTGTGTGTGTGTGTGTGTGTGTGTGTGTGTGTGTGTGTGTGTGTGTGTGTGTGTGTGTGTGTGTGTGTGTGTGTGTGTGTGTGTGTGTGTGTGTGTGTGTGTGTGTGTGTGTGTGTGTGTGTGTGTGTGTGTGTGTGTGTGTGTGTGTGTGTGTGTGTGTGTGTGTGTGTGTGTGTGTGTGTGTGTGTGTGTGTGTGTGTGTGTGTGTGTGTGTGTGTGTGTGTGTGTGTGTGTGTGTGTGTGTGTGTGTGTGTGTGTGTGTGTGTGTGTGTGTGTGTGTGTGTGTGTGTGTGTGTGTGTGTGTGTGTGTGTGTGTGTGTGTGTGTGTGTGTGTGTGTGTGTGTGTGTGTGTGTGTGTGTGTGTGTGTGTGTGTGTGTGTGTGTGTGTGTGTGTGTGTGTGTGTGTGTGTGTGTGTGTGTGTGTGTGTGTGTGTGTGTGTGTGTGTGTGTGTGTGTGTGTGTGTGTGTGTGTGTGTGTGTGTGTGTGTGTGTGTGTGTGTGTGTGTGTGTGTGTGTGTGTGTGTGTGTGTGTGTGTGTGTGTGTGTGTGTGTGTGTGTGTGTGTGTGTGTGTGTGTGTGTGTGTATTGAGTAATATACAACTTCTATGCGGCAGCACGTTATGTTGAGCGTATCTCTCGGGTTACTATTGTGTATTAATGTTTTATACAAAATTTAAATTACTTTTTATATTTTCGGTTCTCGTTAAGCAATGGAATGAACAAGTGTTCTTTTGTCTGGGAGGGTTTTTTGGACAGGAAAGCGGCGGAAACCACTTGTCCTTGAAATATATTTGTTAGTTTTTACACATGCTGGTTTTCTAATAATTTTCCCCTCCAAGGGGAGTACGTGATAATTCCACTCAGTATAGTTCGCCTACAGACTGCTATTGCTAAAATTAGTTTCACTTGTACAACTACAACGTGTGAATATGTTATTGTTATTACCTGTGGTCGTTTACTCTCATTTAAGAAAACTATTTGTTACAGATAAACAATTTAAGTTCCCTTCGTTTTACCCGACGGGCTGTCTGCTCGGGTGTGTGAACGTGGACGATTGCCTGCCGCAGGAGGAGTATCAGAAATTGTAAGTTTTCCTCGTGGTCATACTGCAGCTCTATTATTATTGTAGTAAGATTAGGTGGGCTCGGCCAGACCACGCTAAAATTTTTGTGTATATAAGAAGTAAAATAAGAAGTTTACTAAGTAAGAAGTTTTGTGTATATATATATACAAAAATATAAAGAATCGGCGAATTACTCCAGGGGTGACAACGCCTCTTTTGATTTCAAGTCAATCTTTCTATAGGCCATAGCATCCACTTACCATCAGGTGGACTGTGCGCTCATTTGTCACCCTTCTTTAAAAATCTTATAGAAATAGATATGCAATAATGATCATTATTACAGTTCTTCACAATTCCACTGCTGACATAGTCATCCTCCATAGGTTGCTGTATATGGGGGGGGAGGATATTTGCCACAGTCGCACACGACACTTGTTATTATTTTCAGTTGTTACAAAAGACTTCTATACATACTACTAGACGATCCCTCAGGGCTTAATACATTACGCACTAAGTTACGGCTAATGCCTTGCTGCTTTTTAGCTGTGTTCGTTACGAAATCGGAGGCACTTTTTACTAGCAATGAGGTAATTTTTGTTGTCAGTCTATTTACATTTTGATTTCTAATCCATAGTAAATGAAGGTGACAATGGGCCACAGAATCTACTTACTCTCCGTATGGAGATCCCGTAACCCCCCCCCCCCTAGTCACTCCTGTCTCCTCCCTCCCGTAACCATTTTTCGGGTTTTAATCGGTAAGAGTCCGACATAGCTTGCTTGCTTTCCCAGGCCGGTATCCATGAGGACTTCCCTACGTAAAAAAGTTCACCTGGTGTTAGGTGGATAATGTGGTCCATAGACACCTACATCTGTCATCGATTAAAAATCAAAATTATATGTTTATTCAATCCCTTTGTACTAAGATGGAATACCTCGATATTAGTGAAAAGGGTCTACGGTTCTCTACAACTACTTCACGCTGGTGTTTGGTGAGAGAGTCGTCTTTCCCCGGTCGAACTGATAATGCTTCAACCGCATTGGCTGCAGCGTGACTGCGTAAATAAATACCCAATAATATATACGTTTAGCATGGCCGTGCTCTACAATTCCGAACTACTTTAAATATATTCTTATGGTTAAGTTAGTGTATTTATAGTATTCATTACAGTGTTAGTTCTACTTAAATAACTTTTTAACAGAGGTTTTAATTTGATTAGGTATCCAGATGGTGAAAGCGACAGTCCATACGTGTTCATCTGCTCTAACCCCGTGAGTTTAAGGCTTCGATTTCCTATAAAGGGCCAACATAAAATATGTAAGTTGTTTTAAATTCTTTATTCAATTATATATAAAGTTTATATTGCAATATACCTAATGTCAAATTTGCAGAGAAGGTTTAGAATAAGTGATATAGGCGAATGATGAAATTGTAAAAAATCTCACACTTTCTGTCCTTTTTATCTTTTAAGTTCAGAATGCGTGATAATGCATTATTTTAACTGATTGTCATTCATAAATATCTTATCTTATGCTACGACTACACATGGCTCTGTTTGTAGAATCCCAAGAAACGTAATAACTTTTTTGTTCTTCAGCTCCATCATATTCATACATGCGACCCTGTTGCGCTCGTCGTGCACAATGAGACAAAGCGTAGTGGCCGTTTCAACGCGTTAATTCGTGCGTTAATCCTTTGATGTACCGCCACGCGAGTTATCGCCAAACGGTGAACGGCATTGTTAATGCCGTTGTCAAATTATTGCGTTAAGTCGTGGCTTCGCCTACATTCAACGTCCATCAACGCGATAATTAATGGCATTTCTCCTTAGTGTGGCACAAATTCATAAGGGTCGGTCGGTCGGAACGGAAAACGTTCTGAATTGAATAGCACACTTAAGAGCGTGCATACGCGTAGTTGTTGCCCATAAACCACTTTCAGTTTGGGATAATTTTAAATTAAAGTAGTAACCTTATATTTACTCATATTTTCAAAAACTGTAAAAACGGTATATCATTATTTACATATATGAACTTAACTATAAAATTTGGCTAGTCTTTGAAAAATAACCCTGTATTTTTCAAGGAGCAGCAGTTATAGTTTCGAAATTTAATTATTGCCCTATTTGTTATAGACACTCTAGACAAGACAATTCATCAAGCAGCCCTAAAATGCCTACAAAAGATGTCAAAAATACAAGCCGAAGAAGCCAACGCTGCTTGAAACACTAACTGTTATTGTACATTGTTTTTGTAATTTAAAGTTGAAATAAAGAAAAGACTGTTACATAGAAAATGTTTTATTTACACACTATTTTACTAATTTTTATAAATATTTTAAGTCACGAATGCACATTCTAGTTTCGTACCTTAATCTTACATTCTATAAAGAATAGCTCGCTCTCACACACTCATACATACACATACACACGTATAATATTAATGTGCAATCATTCATCCAATCTTACGTAATACTTTTAGCCACATTGCTTTAGTGATAATTTCACTGACTAAAAGGAGCACCAACACAGAAAAAAGCCTCAGATTTTCTCTAAACTTATAAAGTAAGTCAAAAATTAAGAAAAGTAAGTTATTTTTGGATTCATTTCACTATATTTCACTCAACTTTTTCGAGGAAATATAAAATGTAATAAATAGAAGTCCGCTTGCTTTGGCAATCGAAGGGGATTTGGTTTTAATATAAATTACGTATATAAGCAAAGTTACGATTCCTTCTTTTGGTTCAGTTGAGGGAAAAACGCTTCTATCGGAAGGATGGGGTCATCTGTAGCTATCGTGAAGTAATTGGGTATACGTCTACTGTTTCCCGAAACCGTCTTAAACATTCCTGGGTTGTTATAATCTTTGCTAGCCGCTAACGTGAGGTCGGATACGCGTTTAGAATGCTCAAACAGGTGCTCTACGTGATCGTGATGCTTCTTATCGGCTATTTTCATTATAGCGCTCTCAGATCGAGTTCTTTCTGATGTTATTTCATTTCTTTGATCGTAGTCGACTGTGGTTTCTGTTACGCTTATATCTTGTACGGACTCGCCTGTTTCGGAATCCTTGATCTTCTTGCGTAATGGTCTTTTATTGTAACCTGTAATGGGGCTTGAAGTTTCGGTAGTTTCTTCAGTGGAATGTCTCCGAGATCCGTTACGAATGCGTGATGATATTTTCAGTGTCGTGGGTTCACTTTCCACTGTTGTCTGTCTTTGTCTTCCCGATTGTCGCGTGGAATGTATTTCTCTTTCTATCTGCTCATTGTTTTCAGTTTTATTAAATTTGTGTCTTGGATCTTTTGGTGTAAATCTTTTTCTATCAGGGCCATTATCATTTTCGTTATTTGAATGATCGTTATACGGTGTCTTTCTTTGAGGATATCTTAGTTTAGGCGTATTTTCAACCGCTTGTTCTGTGGTACTAGTGGTGCTACTTAATCGACTTCTGTAATCTTTCATGCTGAATTTTGGTCGATCTAATTTGTTCCTTAGTCTAAGTCTGCTTGGTGTTCGTGAAGTTGTTTCTGAGCGCGGCGTTGTTGTTGCTTCAAAACTATATTCGTTGCTATTTTTTGTGTCATCTGTAGTGGTCTCTTTAATATCTACAGGTTTCACATCTCTATGAAATGAAAATTCTTTGTGTTCATCAGATGATGCTTTAAGTGAGTCAGTAAGACTTACTGATACGTCACTTGTTGGTGTATCTTTTTCATCTTGCTTGTGGGTATAGTCTGGCATGTCGCTAGCTTTATATTCATACATATTCGATGTTAATTTGGATAACTGTGGCCGAGTTGATATCTTCATTATTGGAGATTCGTTGTTACTGTCGTAGTCTCTGAACGATACGGTTGTCGTTTCGATTCTGTCAACTGGGGTTGTTGACTTACGGCGGTGTCCGATCTTTTTTCTTACGATCGATGGTATCGTTGGTGATATAGTTGGCAATGCGCTGGTTGTCAAATCTGTGGTGACACTAGGTGTTGTTTGACTTTGCTCTTGCTTTGATGGTCTGACTCTTGGTCTTATTGTATAAATTTCTTCCGTCACGGTAGTTGTTAGCGTTGGTTCTGATGATAACTGTTCGAATTTATGATTAGTTGTTTCTCCTTTGTTGTGATTATTATTTCCAAAACCTGGACGCCGTCTCCTCAATTTATTCCTTTTGCGAATTCTGTCTTTGTCAAGTGGATCTGGTGTACTTGGGCGTTTAAAATGTTTATTGGGAGGAAGCGTAGGCAGAGCTTCTACTGGTACGTCATTGTTTTCTTTATCAACGCTGTTGCTAGTTGTTGCTTCTGACTGGAAAAGATTAGATGTTTCAGTTGGTTTTTTCGTTCGCCTTGCATGCGTATGATCCCCATATGAAGATGTGGATACTTTGTAATAATAATCTTTGAGTTTATTATTCTCAATTGGTTCAAAGCCTTCTTCTAACGGCCGTCTACTTTGAGATTCGACTTGACCGTCGTAAATCAAAGAGTTTTCGTAGGCTTTTTCGCTTTCGGTTACGATAACAAATTCTTCTGTAACTTCAGGAATCGGCGTTGTTGACTGTCGGAACGCAGAAACGACGTTTTCTTCTTTCGGAACCGTCTCTTCATTCGTCTTGAGGCTGTTTTGATATGGTTCAGCGGGTGAGGCCCAAGGTGATGAGTGGGTAATGAAGTCGTTGTGATTTTCAGTAACTTCATAGTGACCTTGGTGTGATATAGATGGAGTTTCTTGGGGTTGTGTTCTTGGTGACTCAGCATATTGTTGTGAAGTTTGTTGATTTATATTTGCTGCCAAACTGTCATGTAGTTTTATTTTATTATTTTCGTAGTTATAGTTCTGGTTCTGCTGATTTTGGTAGTTTTGTATTTGTGCGTTCAGTTGATTTTGGGAGTGCTGACTTGGCGCGTTATGATGGGATGAAAAATAGAAAGAATTAGCTAACGTAGTTGTTGGAATAACGGGATTGTAGGTTGTGATTTTATTTAAGTCCAGGTTTTGATAAGCCTTGATAAATGGGTCCTGTGGACTTGCCTTAAATATGCCTTTGCCGTTGCCATTAGGGTCTATTTTAGGCGGACTTGAGACCTTAGTCTGTGGGGTGGGTGCATTTCGGAAATCGTTCACTGTTGATCCAAATTGGAAACGATTTTGGTTGGTTTGTACCTTGGGTGTAGTAGCTGAAAATTGACTTGGGGTCGATTTAAAATTATTTGAGGTATAGCTAAAGGAGTTAAAAACAGTTTGCTTAGTTGGTTGAGGTGGTATGAAAGCTGTTTTCGTTGATGGAAACACAGGATCCCTTCCTTTCACTGACTGCACACCAAAGGATCCAAATGATCCTGAAATAGAAAAGAAATAAATTATTTATACATAATTTATATATTTAGTTGATAAAAATTACAAGTGAATATATTTCGCCATTATACAAAAGGTAGTTCACTGACAGCTCGGGCTTAAACCACAGTCTATGTTTTTCTTAGACAGTGCTTAAACCAAGCATTTTCGAGGATTTATTTACAATGTTGTTAATATGTGAATTTAAGGTGCTTGTCTACTGTTACACCTAAGCCTCCTATTTCGTCTACTTCAGTTAATGATGAGCCGTTAATTTCATAAGTGGATGGGTAATGATTTTTCTTTTTTTTTTAAATTTAATTTAGTAGCATTTATCAACGTTTGGGGTCATAACGTTTGATTCACACCATTTGTGAATACTGTTATTAAGTCCTCCTGGATAAGTTTCATGTCATGGGAAGAATTGACTGCCCTGTTAATTTTTAAATCATCCGCAAATAGGCTGAATTTACAGTTTTTTTTATGTGCACCGCTATATCGTCGATAAATATAAGAAATAATATTTGGGTCTAAGTGAGACCCCTGTGAGACTCCTGACGATAAAAAATATACATCTGACTCAAAACCCCCAACAGCAACAACCTGGGGTCTCATACTGAGGTAAGACCTAAATCAGTGAAGCAAACTACCATGTATCCCTTTCATTCGCAATTTCATTAAAAGTAGTGCTTGATTTACTTTGTCGAAAGCACTGGTAAAATCTGTGTATACAGCATCAATTTGACTTCCACTATCCACCTCCAGTGCAGATTTCAGAAATAAATGAGACCAAATTAGTCTGTGTTGAGCGACCCCTTTGTTGAGTGACCCGTTGTTGTTACGGAACCCATGCTGGTACTCGGATAGTGAAATATCTATGTGGATAATAATTAGGGGATTAATTAGAGACTACCGCGCAAATGATACCCATAAATCTTCACATAAATACTTGTTGTGATAAGGCTAATAATATTTAACTTCATACTTAAAACTACCATTTTTAACTAATGAGCTAGACGTATAAAACAAAAAAATATTCCGTAAGATAATATTTTTTTGTGATAGCAGTGTAAAGGAAGTCATTCTAATCTATCGTCAATTAAAAGAGAATCTAACTATAGCTTATTGCACAAATGGTGAAATTTCAATAATTGTAAGATTTTTAATATTTCAATCGGTGATAGATAGGAGACGAATCAGGTGATATATCTAAAGTTTGCTCAAGTAGGTAAGAAACATGGTTTTATTGCATTGAGCGGATGTGTGCGAAACAATACTTGCCAACTTAAATATATAAGTCTAAAGTCGGCTAATTGCACCTTTATAGTATTTGTAATAGAAATCTTTAACATACCTAAAATACTTGGCGGTAGTGCGCTATCTTGAAAAGCATAATTGGCGAGCGGGTTCACGTTGTTACCGGCGAAGGTTTGCTGCTGGGCAGTTTTAACCTCTTGTTTTTGCGCAGTGTTACTGTTCGGCAACTTATACACTTCGGGTTTAAAAATCTCCGTCACAGTCTGAGGTTTCTTACTGCCTTCTACTGGCCTGCCATAAGAGTCAACTGGTTTTGCGAATTGATCCTGCGGTTTTGGTGTTTGGTATTGTCCAAAATGTATGGGTTGGATGCTAGTTAGCTGCTGCAGCAAATTATTGTGTTGCTGCTGTTGTGACGGATATTTTTGTTGCGGGCGATGTCCGAAAGAGTTATGAGTGTTTCTTATGAAGTAGCTATCGATAGGAAAATTTTGGACGTATTTGAAGTGTGTGGGCCCATTGTTAGGGAGGGCGAACGGGTTGTAATAGGAGTTGATTGGGTGGTTCCCAGGAGAAACTGATGCAGTGGTCCTTAGCGTAGTTGGACGATAGGATTGTGCTATCGATGTCA